GAGGGGTGGACTTCCACTCCCAGAATTCCCCAGCCAGCAGGCTTTAAGAGGGGTGGACTTCCACTCCCAGAATTCCCCAGCCAGCAGGCTTTAAGAGGGGTGGACTTCAACTCCCAGAATTCCCCAGCCAGCATGCTTTAAGATTGGTGGACTTTAACATGGCTGGCTGGAGAATTCTGGGAGTTGAAGTCTGCAAGTCTCAAAGTGGCTAAGACTGTTTTAGATAAACATTTCTCGTAGATCACTCACCTTAATCCGTCATAATTACAAGCAGGTAAGTCCATTTTTCATCAGGGGGAGGAACCTGGGTGTGTGTTGTCAGAAGGTGATGAGGCAGTGAATCGTCATGCCAGAGAGTGTCTTCTTCCCTGTCATTCCTCACGTGCCTAGTCCACATTGAGTCTGTTCAGAAGCCAGTCTGAGTAAACAGTGCGGAAGGTTGCTTTCTCTGGCTGTAGAGAAAAGGAATGTTTTTCTAGCAAGACGAGAATTCTAGGAGTGGAAATCCACCCAGCCTAAAATTCCTCACCTATGGAGAGAGATTCATATCCTCTCAAGGTGATTGAAAAATTCTGGGATTTGAGATCCACCCCTCTTAAAGCATGCCTGGCTGGGGAATTCTGGGAGTTGAAGTCCACCCCTCTTAAAGCATCCTGGCTGGGGGATTCTGGGAGTGGAAGTCCTCCCCTCTTAAAGCAGGCTGGCTGGGGGATTCTGGGAGTTGAAGTCCACCCCACTTAAAGCAGGCTGGCTGGGGGATTCTGGGAGTTGAAGCCCACCTATCTTAAAGCAAGCTGGGTGGGGGATTCTGGGAGTTGAAGTCCACCTATCTTAAAGCAGGCTGGCTGGGGGATTTTGGGAGTTGAAGTCCACCCCGCTTAAAGCAAGCTGACTGGGGAATTCTGGGAGTGGAAGTCCTCCCCTCTTAAAGCATGGCTGGCTGGGGAATTCTGGGAGTGGAAGTCCTCCCCTCTTAATTCATGCTGACTGGGGAATTCTGGGAGTGGAAGTCCTCCCCTCTTAAAGCAGGCTGGTTGGGGGATTCTGGGAGTGGAAGTCCTCCCCTCTTAAAGCAGGCTGGTTGGGGGATTCTGGGAGTGGAAGTCCTCCCCTCTTAAAATTCCCAAGACACCAGAAAAACTTGAGTAGAAAGTTAAAGAGATGATCATGCATAAGGAATGCAATAGTCAGCAAAACATGTTTTAAGTTTGGGAAAGGAAGAAGGCATTAACAAGAAACTTTTTTTCATTTACCATCCTGGATTTCCTGGTGGTGCACTATCCATCAAGCAGTAAGTAGCCCAACCCTGATGAGCTTTTGAAGGTCAGCCAAGTTCAACCAGTTACTGCCAGCGAATGCAACAAATTGGATAGCAACCTCTAATTTTCTGTTCCTCCTACTAGACTCCACCCCCTCTTCAACTTCTCAAATTCTCCTACGCCACGAACTGGATATACATGAATATTGCTAGCTTATATAATTTATCTAGTTACTCATTACAACAGAGGTCTCCAAACTTGGCAACTTTAAG